CCGGTGGCCGGTGAGAACGGCCACTCAGGCTAGAGCAGCCCGAGAGCGCCTGATCGAGCGGAGGCGGGCACACCCACCTCTTGGTTACTGGCCATAATAATGAGCAAGCTCCTCTCTAGGTCCCTCTGTTCCCATGGCTGGGCCTTCTGGCTTGTGGAAAAGTACTGAATTCTGAGCCTGATGCCGCGCCAGGAGGAGGGCAATGCTTTCTTCTCGCCCTCATCCTTGGTTGCTGGCCAGGCCACAAATGCAGCTGAGGCTATTTTCAATAGGACACTGTGCAATATAAAGCATATTATTGAGGGGACTCATGTTCATTGATAAGCACATAAAGACATGTGTAATGAATGCGTACTGAAGTAAATAAGTACATTATTAAGAATGATGAAATATTAAGAATTATAAATTGCCTTTACACATTTTAATATTTTAATTTGTTATGGGCACTAGTACTGCTAGGGTTTCTCTTCTGTCAACTTGAATTGTTGCACAAGTTCTGCAGGTCCATTTTGTATTATTCTCACCCTCCTCCTGGTTGCTGGCTACAAGTACTGCTGAGGCTTCTCTTCTGTGTACTACTTGAATTACGGAGGCTTTCTTTGCAAGCTTTGGCCCGAGCATCAGCTCAAGTATGGTAAGAGTTGTCCAAGTTCTGCAGATCCATTTTATATTATTCTAGCCCTCCTCCTGGTTGCTGGCCCTATTGGCTAATGAGCATATTATGGAATTGTAAGTACAGGTTTGTTGCTGTCCACAAATGTGGAGGCTTTCTTCTTGGTTGCTGGCCAAGTGCTCCAGCAAATTCCCTCCTGGGGTCCAGGTAGTAGGCCCATGCCTACAGGCTCTTCACCCCACTTGCCCACCTCTGCCTTACACCTCTCCGTTGCACCTTGTAACTTTCAAATTGTTGCTGGCCACAAAGGAAACTGAACTTTCTTCACAGGCTTTGGCCCGAGCATCAGCTCAAGTATGGTTCTGCAGGCCTATTTTAGTCTTTTCATCCTCCTCCTGGTTACTGGCCATGTCCCAGCAAATTTGGACTACGGTACATGTCTTCTGACTTCCACTCACCTACCACTCTGTCTCCTTGAGGCTTCTGTCTCCTTGAGTTTCTTCTCTGACTTGCGGAAGGAAGGAAGATTTTAAATAAATAAGGATAACAGAAAGTAGTATAACAGAAGGGGTGATTTTCCTCCCCAGCACCTTTACAATATAAAATATTGTAAAACCTCTATAAAACAGCACCTACCTGCTTCCCTTCCTCCCTCTCCTCCTCCCTCTCCCCCATCCATCCATCTCTCCTTCCCTAACCTTTGTGGCCAGCAAAAATTCAAACATTACTATGTAACAGATATTAGCATGGCCCAGCTCAGCCAGCCAGCTAAGTTGGACCATGTATTTCCACCTGAGGGGGCCTCTTTGGGACCGGGCCTGCCCCCTCCCCCTTTACCCAGCCATCTTCCTGCTGGGACATGCTCAGTAACCAGGAAGGGGTGCAAGATGCCTGCCTCCCTCCCTCTCCCCCATCCATCCACCTACCCACCCACCCAACCCGCTTCTGGTGGAGAACATTGTAACGCATTGCTACAGTCTTTATAGAGCTGCTAAAGGCTAAAGGCCCTGGGAGGTCCATGCTTGCCTTTTTTTTTTTTTTGGGGGGGGGGTGTTGTTTAGTCTTCTTTCTTGCAAGAAATGCTGGCTACATACTAGTACTGGCCAAGCATTCAACTTTCCTCCATCCAATAACAGCCCACCCTACAACCTTCCAGTAATGCCATGATTCCATAAAAGTCACGTAGTCATCATCAGCTCTTTGAAAACCACCCCACCCGCTCCCCACTGGCCATGCATGCCATATAGACCAAAAATAAAACACTGCTGGGACATGGTCAGTAACCAGGCTGACTGCCTGCCTGCCTGCCTCCCTCTTGCCCCACCACCATCCATCCCTTACCAAGTGAAATACTGCATGTAATTAGAGAAAGAGAACATTTACACTTATTATACAACAACAGTTGCCCGATAGTAGTAATACTGAAGGGAATATCAAAGGATTACTCAAGGGATGTTGGGAGAATATTGTGAATTGGTGTTTTTCCTATTGTATTGTGTTTGCTGGTAATGGCTGTACTGTAAAAAAAGTATTCACCAGTTGACTACCAACGTTGAGTAAAGCAAAAATGTGTATACTGTTTTAGCTTTATTGTGATTTCTCAATCAAATTGATTGAAATTCAAGTTATTGTGAAAAAAATAAAGATGAGGAACAAAAAATTCTGATTTGTATTTGCTCCTGCTTGCTTTCAGGAAATGGACCTAGGAGCAGGGGAACAGTTTGCAGCTGGCCAGGGGCAGGAGTGCAGTAGCTTCCCAGGCTAGACACAAAGCTGGTCAGGGCCCGTATTTCAGACTGGTTGGCCTCCCCTCCAGGCACCTCAGTAATATGTCTGGAGATAGCCATCTGCTGCATAACACTTCTGGCCTCTCTATAGGGAGCAGAGCGCTTTTTGAAACCCTGGCCTTGGCTGATTAGCAGCTCCCTGATGGGGTGACTCCCTGAGGTAACTGAGACCCATCTGATGAGGTCATGCCAATAACTAGTGTAGGAGAAGGAGGTATTATAAATTTTTTGAATTTGGATGAAAATAAGTTCTCCCACAATGATGCTTTCTTTGAATACACTTGATTCTGTAGAGGTGTAGAGGTAGCTGAACAGATTACCCTGGGCTGCCTTGGGAGTGCTGCTCTTCATTTCCCTCTCACCTTCTCCCTATCCTTTGAGAAGGCTGAGCAGAGAGATCTGGCAAGGGAGAACAAAGCAGTCCTGACCAAAATCTGATGAGCTCTCTCTGGGGGGGAGCAGGTTGAAGCTGGCTGTGGGGAGAAGGTGGCAAACCTGGCTCCAAAAGGTGCTACCCAGCTCCAAAAGGTGCTGCATGCAGGGTTTTGTAAAGAAAAATATTGCATTGCAAAGAAAGTATTGGGAAAAAAAATTGCATCACACCTCCCATAAGAGTACAGCCTGCAAAGAAAAAACTGCCAGGGGGTCAGAAAATAAAAGAAGCTGTTTTGGAGCTGTGGCAGCAGGCGTTAACCCCAACCGCCCACCCCACCCCCCCTGGTGGCCATGCATATGAAATGCATTATAATACATTAAAGACTTGCTAAAGTCTTTAAAGACTTTAGCAAGTCTTTAAAGACTTTAGCAAGTCTTTAAAGACTTTAGCAAGTCTTTAAAGACTTTAGCAAGTCTTTAAAGACTTGCTAAAGGCCCTGGAAGGTCCATGCATGGAGTAGTTTTGCAGATTGCCTGCTTGGCACTGGGGGTGGGTGGGGTTGTTTTGTCTTTTTTCCTTACAAGAAATGCTGGCTGCACCCTAACACTTAACAAGCATTCAAGCTCCCTCCATAACAGTCTACCCTGCAACTCATTGCAACTCTTTCCAGTAATGCCATGACTCCATAAAAGCCCCAAGCACAGCATCCCCACACTAAGGCAGGTGTGGTCTCTGAAAACCACCCCATCCACCCACCCCAAAGAAAACATGACACATATATAGAGCAAAAATAAAACACTCTATTCTAAAGGCTTTATTCAAAAAAGGGGATCTTGCTCCCCAGCACCTTCACAATATAAAATATATAGAAAATATTAAAAAAAAAAAAATTAAAAACTGCAAATCTACACATAAAGGTCTTTCTTTCACTCTCTTCATTAGTGGTTGCGCCCCTCTGCCCCGCCCCCCAGTGAGTTACACTTGCAAAAGTTTTCTGCAAGGAGGGGGAAAGAGGAAGAAGAGGAAGAGGAAGAGGAGGGGGTTTGGAGCACAGTTGAAAAACCAGACTTTTGCCCCCGCCCCCCCACACACGCACACAAGGTCAGTGGGACATATTACCTAAATATCACCCAGGACACTGAATATCCTGGGCATCGGGTCTGGCAGGCAGCGTCCTGCCCCTGGACTTTTGGTCATGGTTCTGAAATGGAATGTGATAAGTTTCAGAAGGTTTGTGATATTGAAGGAAGTCATGTAACCGCTCACTCCAAAGTTTCAAAATACTTGCAAAATATGTACCGTTATGGTGATGCTGCAGCTGTCATCGGGAGCTATGTCCACTGCAGTGGCAGCACATGGGGGAGGGGGAGAAGTGCGGGGGGGCGCAGATGGAGGGTACATCAGGAGGTGGGAGGACAGGGGGGTACGTGGGCGGGAGTGGGGGCAGCAGGACATACACTATAGGTGGCAGTGGGGGACAGAAGAATTAAGAGGGGGTAGTAAATTAAGGGATTATTGGCTTCCTCCCCTATTTCTTTTTGTTAAAATAAAAATAATAATTTTGCTGAGCAGACCCGACCTGGACCTGTGGCCACTTCCCTGTGTGCTGTGAGATAGAAGGGAGGGGGGGAGGAGTTAGGAGCAAAGGAGGGTAAAAAAGAACACACAGCATCACTTACTGGCTAAAGGCTGGAACACAGAGCCCCCTCGTGGTGAAGGGGATTAATTAGAAGTCTTTGGAGTCTCTGGCAGTTTGCACAAGCAAATCCATAGTTGGGGCGGTGTAACTGCAGAGAGTCGCAAATTAACACGTCTCCAAGTAGTGTTAGTTTAAGACACTAAATGGACTTTTAGAGCAGCAGTATGAAGGAGTGAGAGAGAGCAAACAAAAGACCCAAGGTGCCTTACATGCTGGGCAGGGGAGGTCAGGAGAAGAAAAGCAGCCTGCAGCAACAGATAGAGAGAGTGAAAACAAACAATACTCACAGCATGGAGGGCTGGCAGGGCTGCAGCTGGAGACTGGAAGGGAAGAGAAACATTCACCACACTTCTGGAGCAGCATCTCACTCAGGATTGGAGAAGAGAGGCTGCCCAGAAGTATTTCCAACCCCAGAGAGGGGCAGAGGGGGGTTAGTCCCCTGCAAGCCGCAGAGAGAGGAGCAGCTGAGCATCTCTCACGCAAGGGTTGCGAAATTTTCCAAAGGAACGCTCAGGGAGTGACCCTGAGAAGGAGGCAGGTGGAGGCCTGCACACACACAGCTGTTGATAATCTCTGGAGCAGAGTGTCAGCTGAGGAACTGGAGGAGAGGCCTGAGGAAACTGCTGTTCCAGGTTAGAGCCTTGCTGCACATGGGAGAGATCCCATTGTGACTGAATGTTCACAAGGAATCCGGGCAGGACTATGCAGAACAGCGACTGGACTAATTGATTTATTTCACTGTTGTGATTGGGCTTTGAGAGCCTGACCCCGGGTGAAGGGGACATGGACTGAGCCTGATAAGGAGACTGAGAGCAGTTGGGGTTGGGCTTTTTTGGTTCTTTTTCCTTTTTTTTTTTAAACTTGAGTACAGGCCAAGGCCAGCCCTGGAAGGGATGCACCTAACCAAAGCCAAAGGTCACCCTGGTGAGAGAGGGCAGAATAATAAATTAACAAGTAGTATTGTGACCTGGCTGCAAAGGATTGAGAGCACCATCTGGAGAGGCTAGGCTGGAGTAAAGGGGAGGTTTGGAGCCCCACAGAAGAAAACAAGGATTGAGACTGGGTAAGATCACCTTGGGCATTGCCTCCTAGAATATAATTTCATCAAAGTCGTGGCAGGCGAGAAACACAAGATCAACTTCCTGGCAGACCAGGTGATCCAAAGCTGAGGTCCACCCTGTCACGGCCTGTAGGAAAACAAGCTTAGGGCAGCAGTAGCAAGCCCTACAACTGTCACAGGCAGGAAATCCTAGGTTGTACAAATACAACCGCAGTTGCATTAGCGTAAACAGGAAATATCATTTCATCTACACATGTCCTAAGGTGAGAATAAAAATAAAGACAGGAACAAAAAGAATAAAAATAAAATAAGAATAAAAAATAATTTAAAAATTTAAAATATTGGTAAACCAATAAACCAATAACATAAATTAACAAAAAAAGTGTAAATATATGTGTAAAAAATGAAATTAATCAAAGTCATGAAATGAGCCTTAATTAAATTATCTAAATTAATGAAACAGCACAAGTTTTGGTGATTTGTACAAATCAGTGTGCTGTGAGCTGTGGGCACCCCGTGCTGTACTTTAGTACTATGAGATCAGTGGTGCCACCTGCAGTAATTTACTGTGAATAGCACGGTGAGCATTTTATGAGATTTCTGAGTGATCGCGTGTATACAGTGATGGAAAAAATTAAAACCAACCATTTCAATTTAGGGGGCATAAAATGAGACCCCGAGGACTAAACTCCTGTCACATGTACAAGCGCCATTCTGGTCCTACACCCCCAACACTCCTCCAGGAAACAGAAGCCGATGGGACAGTTCCACCTGCACTTGTTTCCAGAAAGAAAGGGGAGGGTGAAGGGATGCGAATGGACCAGAAAAGCTGTAGGGCATGAGGCAGCTTTGCTGCCTGTTTTAGGCTGCTTAGACTCCCTAATGCAGGAGGAGCGTGCAGGGCAGTTTTACATGGCCACTGCCACCACAGCATCCCTGGAGGGGGGCCCTGTGGCACTCCAGTTGAGATCCATTAAACCAGGGAGCTGAACCTGCTCATTGTTCTAGTCTCTGTGGATTGTATGCAGACTTTTGCCTGGCAGAAACTACTGTGACCACATTTCCTCACATATAATGCACACTCCAATTTCAGCAGCTAGTTTTTGAAAAAAAGGTGGGTGTTTTTCCTGGGGAAAATATGGTAATTTGACCAAAAGTTTTATATGCTAATTTTACTCCCCCTCCTTGGTTTCAGACTGGTGTGCTTTGGCTGCAGTGGATTTATCCACAATGATGAGCAACATCATCAGTTAAAGCACCCCCGCCACCATTTTTCAGTACGGAGATGCTCTGGGCAATTTAATTAGAGCGGAGCATCCTCTAGCACACATATAAACTCCTGGAGCACACATATAAATGACAGCATTATAAGTGCAAGGCAAACAAATGGAGCTAGACAATACAGTGGTGTGTGATGGCAAAGATAATATCATAGTGAATGTTTCTATAGTGCTCCCTACTGGCCTAGCCTAAAGGGACTCAAACCAGTATTAAAATGAAGGCAACATTGTTTATTAAGGAACATGAGCTGATGCGTAAATATCAAAGCCAACTCAGAAATACTGCCTTCCCATGTGGGCCAAATCTAAACCCACAATGAACAGTTAGCCCCATAAATCACACACAGCTGGCAAAGACACAAAATTGCCTTGGGGTCTAGCTCTGGGATGCTCAGTTCCATTCTTGGAAGAATCTTGAGCCCTGCCTGACTATGTCCCAGGGCACCTCATAGGGAAGTGAAATTCTCTCTCATAACTTAACATGGTCATTGTGATGTGAAGCTTTTGGAGGTTTAACAGGGGACCCCTAAGACCCACTGCATGGGCAAATGTTAGAGATCTCAGGCAACAGAACCCCTGTTGCTACAGAAAGCAAGTGAAGCTTTCAGGGAAGCTAGTTGGAAAAGGGCAGCAGGTCTGCAGCAGAGATAAAGGGCTACAGGGCCAAGCCAGTAAGCTGCAAACAGTGACATACTAGCCCGCTGATTTAGATAATTAACACCACCTGGGCCCTCTTGCCAGGGAGTCACAAGTTAGGTGACTGGAAAGGGGAGGAGAAAGTGGCCATTATAAGACTGAGCCTAGGACTAGAGGCTCAATCTGGTCCAGATTTCCAGGGGCAAGGACCTCAGCTAAGAGTTGCACAGACAACCAAGTAGTTTGTGTTCTATAACTGTTTATCTTTGAGTTTATGTTGACTGTTTTACAACTGTGAGGTTCAAGGGTGGTTGAAGGAGAGGAGGTCACCATGGGTGCCAGTGAGGCACTCTGTAGTTTGAGCTGAAGTACAGTGTGTGCCTGGAAAACTGCATAGAGGGATAGTAGCTCTGAGATGCTGCCTTTCTGGGACAGGCAAGGATGAGCACCTGATGAACCGCATAGAGGGCAAGAGACCTAGAGAACTGTATAGAGGGATGAAGACTGTGGGCCCTAGAGAAGCAGTAAAGTCTAGCTGGGGCTGGAGAAAGGTCAATCCTCACACCCTAACCTAAGGGTCTGGGGGTAGGAGTGTCAGGGCTTGAACTGTCCTGGAACATTTTATGAGGTGTATCTGCTCTTCCTCTCTTCTAGTCTAGTCCCAAACAACAGTTTTCCAAACAAATTCCTTCCCTTCTCTCAAATTACTATTGTATGTTGTAACAGGGAGCCCTTGCCTTGTTAGTGGAAAGTGGCATGGCCACTTTAAGGACCAGGTTTTTATAGCAACCTGCAAAGCAGGGGTTAAGGAAAGACCCTGTGGGCAAGTGTGGCGGAGCACTAGGAGGGTGCTTGCCATGTAGATTGGGCTGCAGCAAGTGGGAGAAGGGCTGGCAGGTAATGCAGCCAGGTGAAACCCCAGTGACTCATTCTTAAAAGGGAAGGTGTGTGGCAGAGCACCAGTGGGGGTGCTCACCACTTGGGGATGTTGCAAGCTCTGTGGGAGCTTGCTGACTGAGCAGCAAGGAAAGTCCTCCCCAGGATCCATTTTTAAGGGGGAAGTTGGGTGTCAGAGCACTCAGGGTGCTCTGCCACTTTAAGAACTGGGCCAGGCAGCAGGCAGGTGCAGCCCAGTCCTGATGAGTGGCCATCTTAAGCCTCAGACCAGCAGGGCTGGATTTAGCAGTTGCTGCCTGGCGCTGAGGAAGGAACATCGCCTGGTGGAGCGGCTGCTCTGGAGACAACATGGAGGTAAAGGCAGGAGCTATGGGGTGGCTTGGAGGCTCCTGGTCCTGAACATGATCTAAAATTGCACCCTGCCAGGATAGGGAGTTCTTGTGGTCCTGCCTGTGGCAGGACAGGGCTAGCAAATGCCAGGTTTCATAGTTTCATAGTAGGTAGGGTTGGAAGGGACCTGAGCAGATCATCAAGTCTGACCCCCTACCATGGGCAGGAAAGAATGCTGGGGTCAAACGACCCCGGCTAGGTGACTATCTAGCCTCCTTTTGAAGACCTCCAGGGTAGGAGCGAGCACCACTTCCCTTGGAAGTTGGTTCCAGATCCTAGCCGCCCTGACTGTGAAGTAGTGCCTCTTGATATCTAGCCTGAATCTACTTTCGGTCAACTTATGGCTGTTATTCCTCATTACTCCCAGTAGTGCTCGGGGAAAAACGGACTCCCCCAATGCCTGCTGGTCCCCCTTAGCCAGCTTGTAGATGGTCACCAGATCCCCTCTCAGCCTTGTCTTGTGGAGGCTGAACAGGTTCAGGTCCTGTAGCCTCTCCTCGTAGGGCCTGCCCTGCTGCCCCCTGATCATGTGGGTGGCCTTTCTCTGGACCCTCTCGGTGCTGTCCACATCCCTCCTGAAGTGCGGCACCCAGAACTGGATGCAGTACTCCAACTGTGGCCTGACCAGTGTCACATAGAGGTGGAGGATCACCTCCTTGGACCTGCTCTTGATGCATCTGTGGATTCATGACAAGGTGCAGTTAGCCTTCCTGACCGTGTCCCCACATTGCCAGCCCAGGTTCATTTTGGAATCAATAATGACTCCAAGAGCCTTTTCTGCCTCTGTGCTGACTAGAAGGGAGTTCAGGACCATCCAGGTGAAAGGCAGGTTAGGGCGCCTAAACCCCTGCCCCCACCATCTGGTGGGTTACTAGATAACATTGGAGGGAGTTAGGGCCAGGCACGCCCATGTGGGGCACCTGAGCCTCGGTGGGAGCAAGGCCCTGCAGTGTAGGTGGTGGGGCCAGGCACAGCTGTGGCCACCTGACCCCACTTAGGGTGTAAGACCCTGGGGGGAGAAGGACAGTTGTGGGCTAGGCACACTGATGAGGGACATCTGAGCCTGTAGGGGTGTTCGGCCCCGGGCCCCAGAAATGGGGGCGGAGCATTGAGTTTAGGCCCTGCAAGTATTGGAGTGAGACATTGAAGATCAAGAGCACTGGTGTAATGGGAGTCCAGGAAGGGCGGCTGTTCCTCAAGGGAGCAATCCTTTGGCCACAGGAGACAA